TCATGTACTGGATTGTAGATAGTCAAGACGGGATTTGTACCTCTCGTAAAAGAGAGAGATGTCGCTGGGCCCCTCGTGTGAGCGAGACTGTAGAAATGTGTGGCCGCACTATAGACGAACGTCGTCTATTTCAGACAGTCGAACTCAGTGAACGAGAAAGCAGTCGAATCAGATAAGGTGGCTTGTCCATGCCTTATGTTCGACATATGATATCGCGATACAAAAGGATCATCAGCCGGAATCATCACTGGCGTTCGTATGATCACGAACAAACTCTATTCGAGATAGATAGTCATAGTGTCTTGCTAGAGAAGAGTTTGTTCGTGATCATACGAACGCCAGTGATGATTCCAGCTGATGATCCTTTTGTATCGCGATATCATTTGTCGAATATAAGGCATGGACAAGCCACCTTATCTGATTCGACTGCTTTCTCGTTCACTGAGTTTGACTGTCTGAAATAGACGACATTCGTCTATAGGGCGGCCACACATTTCTACAGTCTCGCTCACACGAGGGGCCCAGCGATATCTCTCTCTTTTACGAGAGGTACAAATCCCGTCTTGACTATCTACAATCCAACACATGATTCATTTCGTACCTGATGCACGCGTTTATAGTCCTCCTGTTACGCAGGACGTTTGACGTAATCAAAGCACGCAACTCCTCATGTTGGATTCCGTAGACATCTCAGGTCTTAGGATCCAATCATGGAACCGTCACATGAGATTCAAGTCATGACGCTAATCCATGTGACAATCTCATGCGGGTCAATCCAGTATTCCGTTCTCCAACGAATACCTATGACTGTGATCGTATCCAATACCTATGATCAATCCTATGATCATCCATCACACATCATACTAGTCTTATTATGTCGTTATTCCCACAATGACACAAGACCAGGGAGTTTAGTATCATTCATAATGATACACGGATTTCACAACATATTAAAGCATGCATAATACGTAATGAATCAAACACTAATCCATAAAACTATAGAAAGTGTCAATACATCAAATGTATCATAAACATAGCTCATAAACAGTACATCATAGAGCACCAAACCAACAATTCGTTGGAGAACAGAATACTGGAATGACCCGCATGAGATTATCACATGGACTAGCGTCATGACTTGAATCTCATATGGCGAATGCATGATTGGATCCTAAGGTCTGAGATATCTACGGAAACCAACATGAGGAGTTGCGTGCTTTGATTACGTCAAACGTCCTGCGTAACAGGAGGACTATAAACGCGTGCATCAGGTACGAAATGAATCATGTGTTGGATTGTAGATAGTCAAGACGGGATTTGTACCTCTCGTAAAAGAGAGAGATATCGCTGGGCCCCTCGTGTGACCGAGACTGTCGAAATGTGTGGCCGCACTATAGACGAATGTCGTCTATTTCAGACAGTCAAACTCAGTGAACGAGAAAGCAGTCGAATCAGATAAGGTGGCTTGTCCATGCCTTATATTCGACAAATGATATCGCGATACAAAAGGATCATCAGCTGGAATCATCACTGGCGTTCGTAAGATCACGAACTAACATTATTCGAGATAGGTAGTCATAGTGTCTTGTTAGAGACCGCCTATGACTTGTATATCCGAAATAGAGATTTCGGGGTATACTACTATATCGAATGAGCCTACAGGGTCACACACGCAGGGAAGGACAAAACGCTCGAGAAAACGACGGAAAAACCAAGACGGAAGGATCTGGAACGGACGGACCAGAAGTCCAGAACGGACGGTCCGCCGAGCCAGACCCGACTGTCCAGAACGGACTGTCCGTTCCAGAAGGTCTGGAACAGATGGTCCACTAATGCCATAACGTTCGTTCTACGTGCTGGAACGGACGGTCCACGTGCATTTCTAGACCGTCCGTTCCAGGCTTCGGGTTTTTCGAAAATAAGACCGAATTAGGGATAAATCATCTTATAAGAAGGAGATTAAAACCCTAATTAAGAGAGGCGACTTGCTGGCCGATTTGAGAACTTTTCCACAGACTTTTTGGTTAGATCAAAGAGTTGGGAAAGGTGATCGAAGTTCGTTTTTCTCAAAGCACAAATCGAATAGCAGACAAGTTCCAAGCGTTGGAATCCATCCCGAGGTGTGGATACGAGTAGAGGGCGATGTATTCTTCCTCCCTTTCGTGATCAGACGTGTTCTTCGATTGATACAGACCCCGGATCGATTGAGGTAAGCATTCTAACGTTTCTACGATTCAATAGCAGCATGGTTCTAGGGTTCTATAAAATTTTTGTTTTACTTCCGCTGCGCAAACCCTAGAATCGATCTCTTAGGAATAGGATTCGCTTTAGAGATCCCAAGAATTCCTTCAATATCCCCATCATTGATCATGAATTTCGACATATCTCAAGTCGAATTGATCAATGTGAAAGATACGAAATATCCCTGAAAAAGAAATAGAAAATGCAACATTTATAATAAAGAACGATAATAAAATTCATGTCGATTTTCTCAGTTGGTCATTTTTCATCTTTAGACTGATCAAGGACATCCGTGATATCCAAATATGTTCTGTCTCTTCCTTTATCGATGAAATCATCAGGGACACTAGATACAAAAATTTGTCTGGGTATTTTTTCCCTTTATCTTTATGTGATTGTTGATATCATTCAACAAGATGTTTCGGTGTACGAAGGTATGTGACCAATGATCGTTCATACCACATCGATAACAGATATTATCTCAAACATTGCGGAATCATATTCTCGCACAGACTTAAAGTCTTAGAATCTCATATCCAGCCAATCATGTTTGGCTCTCGGATGGATCACATATTTCTCATGATCGAAATAATCTTTGAGTGATTCCCATAAATTTGCGGGATTCTCTTTCGTGCGATATTCATTTTTTAGCGCATCATCAAGATGTCGTCGCAGAAATATTATCGTTTTTTCCTTATCAGCTTCAGATGTCGCTTGCCCTTTTTCGATTGTTTTGACAATCTTTTCGGCTTTCAGATGCATTTTGGCATCAAATGCCCATATCATATATTTTTTTGCCATAAGCATCGAGGGCAGCGATTTCGAGATTGACCAAATTCGACATATGTATCATATGTAACAACAGTAGAAATAATCATGAATATATTATCAGGCGGTAATACCGCCCATATTGCATAAAGTAAATAGTTAAGGTGGCATAGCCATCCATCACAGAAATAATAATATAAATAATGACAAAAATAATATTCATATTTAGGTGGCATAGCCAACCATTACGATAATAATAGCAATATTTATAAATATTCATAAGAATATTTACAGGTGGCATAGCCAACCATTATGATAATAATAGTAATACTTATAGATATGCATAATGATATTTACAGGTGGCATAGCCAACCATTATGATAATAATAATAGTAATACTTATAGATATGCATAATGATATTTACAGGTGGCATAGCCAACCATTATGATAATAATAATAATACTTATAGATATGCATAATGATATTTACAGGTGGCATAGCCAACCATTATGATAATAATAATAATACTTATAGATATGCATAATGATATTTACAGGTGGCATAGCCAACCATTATGATAATAATAGCAATATTTATAAACATTCATATCATTGACTGGTGACTAAGCTCGCGAAGTCTATATGAATGTAATATAAATATATGTAATTAGTTTTATATTATTGACCGGTGGTTGAGCCTCCCAATGTCTATATATAATGAAATTGAAGATAAATAGAGATAGAGAATCATACATTACCTTTTGTATGATATTTTCTTTTTTACCTCTATGTCGGCAGAATCTCGTGCTGATAACGTGTTGAAAACGAAAGACGAAAAACAAGAGGGAGATATGCTCTAGAGAGAGAAAGAGTATGATAGAGAGAAGAGAGAGAAAGTTCTTCGTATTTCGTATGTATACAAATGAACTACATCACTGACCTATTTATAGAGAAAATGTAAGGAACTTCTTCATAATGAAGAAATGTCAGCTTCTTCATAGTGAAGAAGGGTCAACTGCTAAGAAGAACATAATATGGATTCCACTAGATAATATGGATCCCACTAGATGTCTACTTGTATATTTATAAAAGAAAACAAAAAATATATATATTGGAGCGAGGGGAAAAGGAAACGTTGAATAAGGTCAAATCAAATGGACGGTGACTACTGGCTAGATAGTGTGACCTAATGCAATTATAATACTTCCACATTTTTTTGATAAATATAATACTTTCACATGTTTAACCCCTTCGTGATATTTCGGATAACCTTATTTTATTTACAATATTTATAAACATTCATATCATTGACTGGTGACTAAGCTCGCGAAGTCTATATGAATGTAATATAAATATATGTAATTAGTTTTATATTATTGACCGGTGGTTGAGCCTCCCAATGTCTATATATAATGAAATTGAAGATAAATAGAGATAGAGAATCATACATTACCTTTTGTATGATATTTTCTTTTATACCTTTATATCGGTAGAGTTTCGTGCTGATAACGTGTTGAAAACGAAAGACGGAAAACAAGATAGAGATGCTCTAGAGAGAGAAAGAGTATGCTAGAGAGGATAGAGAGAAAGTTCTTCGTATTTCGTATGTTACAAATGAACTATATCACTGATCTATTTATAGAGAAATATAAGAAATTTCTTCATAGTGAAGAAGGATCAGCTTTTTCATAACGAAGAAGGGTCAACTTCTTCATAGTGAAGAATGACATAATATGGATTCCACTAGATAATATGGATCCTGTCTACTTGTATATTTACAACTCAATTTATATATTGGAGTAACGGGTGAGATTTTTTCCCAAACCGCGGTATCATGGTCGGAGGTAAAGGGGCGTATTTGTTAATGGGCCTGTATGGTTGGCCCGTTTATTATTCACTCTTCAGACAGGCATCGTTCTCGACCCCTTATGATGGGGGCGATTCCGATTTCGGAACCTGTTTCTCAAACATTGGAATCCTGTTTCAACTCTTGTTTCTTCACGATTTGTTGTTTGGGTTCGAAGGGGCTTGGAGTTCGCGACGAACAAAGGACGCATAATTTAGGTTAACATCGAAACCCTCTTTCCCGTCAGCTGCTCTTTCTTATCGCCGTCGCCGGTGAGTATCTGTCCATCTCGTTTCGTCTTTTCGGTTCTTTCCTCTTCTGTATTCGTGCTTCATTCTTCTGCGTCTAGGGATACGCGGTTTTACTTCGTGGGTCTTACAGCAGTTCCGTGGATTTACTTCGTGGGTTTTCTGTTTTCGGTTTGTTCTGCTGGTACCCAGTTTACTTTCTCTTGGGTTTTCGATGTTCTGTGTGGAATTCACAGGGTAGAGATGTGAAGTTTCGGTTTTGGTAGTGAATTAGGACGTGGATCAGTTTCTTTTTTTTTCCGACAGAGGAATGTGTGTTCTTGTGTTCTGTAATATGAATGTGTCGTGTGTTCTTGGTGGAAATTCGTTCCTTTTCTTGTGTTGCTGAAGAAATTTGATTACGTTATGTTTCGGTTGATCATAAAAGAGCAACAAGAGCTCGTGGTTGGATCCTGATTCGGGTTCTGCATCAGTTCGAAAGGTTCTTAGTTCCTTAGTTCTTATTGCTCAGTCGACGATATTCAAACGAATCTGCGAGGCTTTTTCACAGCTGTGTTTATTCACTTCTGAAATCAGTTCCGTGTTGGTTTGTTCTAGGTCTTGGGCATGTTTAGTTTTGTTTCTGATCCAAACTGAGCAGGTCTAGTTCTGGTTTTGGTTCAGATCTGGTTCTGGCTTAGGTTCAGATCTGGTTCTGGTTTTGCTGAGGACTGGTTCTGGTTTTGGCTCAGGCCTGGTTCTGGTTTCTGGTTTAGTTCTGGTTCCGTTGTGCAAATCTCTGGTTTTGATTTTCAGTTCTGATCTCTGATTTCGTGAACTGAAGTTGTATTTGAGGTAGATGATGATCTTGTTGTTTTACCTTTTCAACTCTATCTTTTTATGTTTTGAGTGTGTTATTGACATTGTGTATTTCCACAATTCATTTATCAAACTTGGAAAGAAGTAATTTGAAAACTATTCTTCTATACAAATACATATAGTATAGATATTTGATTGTCTGGCGCGGGAGAAGTGGAACATGGAGAGATATGAGAGTGAAGTAGCAGATTTATCTAGCTGTTATTTTCGGGTTAATTGGGTGTTTTATTTAATCTGCGGTTAAATGGGTGGTTCTATTTTAGGTCAGTAATGTGAGTTCCCCGAGATAATATGAGGTTTACTCAGATTTAGCTCAAGACTGGGTAATGTCCCCTTTCATGGGTCTGTTAGATTGTAAGAGGGTAGCTTAAATTCTACTAGTTAGATAAATAGCTGAAGAGAGAGATGAAAGCGAGGTATCAGGATTTTGGGATAGTTCATGTCTGATGTTACGCAGAGTTCATAGCCGTATGTCTTAAATTTTCGATCTTTGTTCATAACAGGTTCCAACCAGCCCGTGAAATGCTAGGTCGGTCTGGGCTTTTTTTGTAAAAAAAAAATTGACATCTCTAGAGATTGCGAAGCAATTTGAATTTGAAGAATTGAGATCTGTAGAACATGTACTGAAAGAATGGTTGAACAGTCTCTTTTTTGCTGCAGGGGTTAAGATTTTCTTCTATGATTTTAAATATTCGATGTATACCCAATGATTGTTACCACCAGTTTCTGCCGGCGTTTGTCGAATCCAGCCTCAGTATTAATGATTTTGACTCATACAAAATTGCAGGATATTTTGGGTTTAGGGTTTAACATAAGAAGTTTGACTCAATATCGTCGGCATTGAATTTGTTTGGCCTTTTCGGCATTGTTGGCAAGAAATTTGAAAAGCAACGGTAGAACATGAATGCCCCGATCATTGGTGAGATCTGCTTCTAGTTCTGTTTTGCTTCTCAATTTATCTGGCTTTGTTTTAAACTTTTGTTTCTTTTTGGTGGGTTTGGTTGTATCATTTAGATCCATTGCAAGGAGATTTTCCAGAGGTGATAGAAGAATATTTGGAGCATGGGGTCATCAAATGCGTTGCCTTCAATCGTCGTGGGACTCTCCTCGCAGGTTACGTGTTTCCCCTCTCATCTTCTTCGTTTTCGATCTTTTTCGTTTTAGTGTTACCCAATTGGTTTGTTCGGATGGGAAATTTGGCAATGCTGATAGGGAAACTTTTTTACTTTCCGTTACCTAGTGGCTAACTTCAGTGCTCGGGACAGTTTTTCTGTTCTGTATGACAAAAATATGTTCATTGAATCTATCATTTATCATATTTTTTTGTTCTGTTTCTGGTTTAATAAGGCAAAAACGTCCGGGCAGCGCAGCAGATACAAATAGTCTTGTTTATATTTCCATCGCTTTCAATTTTGTATCACGCATGATTGATATTCTTGTATTGTTCTATTTCAGCTGGGTGTGCTGATGGGAGCTGTGTAATCTGGGATTTCGAGACAAGGGGCATTGCCAAAGAGCTTCGGGATAAGGATTGTGCTGCTGCAATAACAAGCGTCTGCTGGTCAAAGTATGGGCATCGTGTGCTTGTGTCAGCAGCAGACAAGTCGTTAACTCTTTGGGATGTCCTGTGTGGAAATAAGATTGCTCGGACGGTTCTTCAGCAAACCCCGTTACATGCTCGCCTAAATCCTGGCTTAACTTCTCCTTCGCTTTGCCTGGCATGCCCTCTCTCGTCTGCTCCTATGATAGTCGACTTTGGCATAGGTTGCACAACCTTGCTCCCAGTTACCGTGCCCGAGATGGCAGATGTGCTAGCTCCTTCTCAACGCCACAAATGTTTAGAAGCAAATCCTCCTTTCTCTCCAGCTGCAGCATGCTTTAACAAGCAAGGGGATCTTGTTTATATAGGAAATTCCAAAGGAGAAATACTTGTAATCGATTACAGAAGCGTCCGGGTTCTTGCTATGGTTCCTGTCTCTGGTGGGGCACTGGTGAAAAACATTGTATTTTGTAGGAACGGGCAGTATCTCCTCATGAACTCCAACGATCGCACCATCAGGATTTACGAAAATCTTCTGCCGCCGAAAAACGCTCTTGCAGCCCTGGAGGATTCAAACAAGGGCATGGATGGACTCGAGGGTGTCGAGAGATTGAAAGCTGTCGGGTCCAAGTGCCTGTCATTGTTCAGGGAATTCCAGGACTCCATTACGAAAGTGCACTGGAAAGCGCCTTGTTTTAGCGGTGACGGTGAGTGGGTTGTTGGGGGTTCTGCAAGCAAAGGTGAGCATAAGGTCTACATATGGGATCTAGCCGGGCATCTTGTGAAAATATTGGAAGGTCCAAAAGAAGCACTGATCGATCTTGCTTGGCACCCTGTCCATCCCATTATTGCCTCTGTTTCCTTGACCGGTCTGGTGTATATATGGGCCAAAGATTATACCGAGAACTGGAGTGCGTTTGCTCCAGATTTCAAGGAGCTCGAGGAAAATGAAGAGTATGTGGAACGGGAGGATGAGTTCGATTTGATGCCCGAAACAGAAAAGGTAAAGAGATGAGAAATCAAATTTGTATGAAGTTCTCTATCGTCTGTCATATGGGTTTTCCTGAGTTTTGTGGTGTATGCGTGTAGGTGAAAGTAACTGACGTTAACGAAGATGAGGATGTCGATATACTGACTGTGGAAAAGGATCCGTTCAGTGATTCAGATATGTCGGAGGAGGAGCTCCGTTTCCTTCCAGCTGAACCAATTCCAGACATAAACGGGCAGAAAGAGAAGGGCGTTGATAGCACAAAGTTACTCGAAACTCGTAACTCTGCATCTCTTGCTTCTGAGGAGGCCGGGCAGAACGGATATGCGGCGAATCACGCATCGAGTCCGATCAGAGGTAAAATATGGCTGTACCGTCCGGGTGTTTCCCCGAGAAAACATAGTTTATGAATATGCTATAACCCTTAAAAAAACAAATGTCCTTATTGCAGAAGACGCGGGAGAGACTCGGCCGAGAAGAAAGCGGAAGCCATCGGAGAAAGGCATGGAGTTGCAGGCGGAGAAGGTTGGGAAGCCATCGAATGGTTCTAGCAGGCAGACGAGAGCTAGAAACAGAGCTGCACTCGGCCAAGGATGTGACAACGGCATAGAAGACGACGATGCATCGGATTGACTTAGGGTACACCTACTAATCCCTAACCGTGATGAACGATCTGGCAAGAATCTTCCTTATTTTTTTTTTCCGGGAATTAGATTTTTTAGGCGAGGTTGCAACATTTTACGCTACTGCAGTGATATGACTGCATTCAAGGAAGGACTTAGGATAAGATTTTTATATTAACATCCGCCATGTGATATTCTCCGATTCAAGAACACGTACAAGCAACGCAGCAAGGCGAAGGGAGCGGGACAACAGATCATTCCGACCAAGGGGATCACGTAGATAAGTAGCTTTCGCAGTTTGGGTTTACTATGACAATTACAAATGTTTGGTGTTTTATGTAAATTTCTGAAAGTAAGGGGTCAAAACCTGAGAGTAAGAGTTGTGGGGGTTTTGCTGATTTCTTAAGATTTCAAGGTCTTTGGCTGATCATTGTGAGGGGGGGAGGTTGAGGATCCTCGGATACCGTTTCGAAGTTTGCCGTTTGCCTTAGTAGCGGCCGTGTGGGTGTTGTGTATCGGTGCTTGGCTTTGGGTATTTGGGTGTTGGTTGTCGGGAAATTGCAGGTTCGATCTCTGGGTTTGCCGGAATCGGATCACCATGCCGTGAAATCAACATGGTTCATTTCCCGGTTTTAGAATGATCGTTGTTAATAAAATGACAGACACTTCCAGTTTGGTTTCAAATCAATGTCTACGATATAGGTGGACGACGGTAGCCATAATTTTAGCCAATTCGACAATCCAATTTGTGCCAAAGCCAAATCTCATTTTCGCTCTTTTTTTTTTTCTTTTTTTTTTTGTGAGAACATTTTCATTCTCTTAATTTTATATATTTTGCGTAAATGGGTATTGATCTTTTTGTTGATAATGTTTTATTTTTTAAAAAATTTCTTTTATAAGTTTCTAAAAAGCTTTAGATATGGTCATTCACATAGCCAAATTAATTTTGGCTCCTTGTCTTTTCTTTATGTAAAATCCTGAATACACAACACACGAGTAAACACAAGGTCATTCCGTCTTGTCCTGAATAGAAGAACGTGAATTATAAATCTTTTTTGTTAAAACTTAACTTTACGGTTCGAAATGAGAAATTATGGGATATTCGATTTTTTTTAAAATCCGAAATTTTACACAATTTCACATAGACAAGTGAATGATATAATATATAGTCAAATAACAAAGAAAGACATCATATTTTGTCCATCCAACAAAGGAACGATTTCAACCATTCCTCCATTTCAGAACGAATTCTCTAATGCACCGACTTGGTAAGAGGTAATGAATCAAAGCGAACGACGGGGATGCACCGGAGAGGATGAGCCATGGCAAGGTTTATATCTCCGGCCTCTTCCGTGTTAACCTTCTCTCCTCCACTGATTCTCCAGTCAAAACACTGCACCATTATCCCGATAGCCATTCCGATGAACACGTAACCGAGGTTTGCTCCGGGACAACCTCTTCTTCCGCCCCCGAAAGGAATATACTTCATAGCTTTTTCTTTATCATTGTCTTCTTCTTCCTCCGAAACTAGAAACCTCTCGGGTTTAAACACGTCGGGATCTTCCCATGAACCTGGATCTCTCATTACTGCATAGACGTTGACAATCAACGTCGCGTCTCGTGGCACGACAAATTCTCCAATCTTACAGTCCTCCTTGGATTTCCTTGACAAGATAGGGGCTGGTGGGTGTAGTCTTAGCCCTTCTTTTATCACTGCTTGCAAATACGGGAGCTTCGAGAGATCCGTTTCCTCTAGTCCTCTCTTTGTCCCTACAACCGAATCTATTTCTTCTCTCAGTCTTTTGAGAATGTTAGGATGATTGATGAGCTCTGCCATTGTCCATTGCGTTGCTTGCGCTGAGGTATCCGTGCCCCCGAGAAAAAGATCCTACGGTTTCGTAGTCGTCAGATCAAGAATGTCGTGGCTGACGGATAATAACATCGGATAGATAGAATGTTCGGCTAGTTAAAAACAGAAATCCTAAATTTGTGTACCAGATTATATTATATGAGATGTGTTTGCGTTTGGTCATGAACAAGACTTAAAATTACGGTGTCAGAAAAATCCTGAGACCCGTTACTCGATCCGAACCCACCTGCAAAATTTAATGGCTTAGGCTTTAACAGTTTAGACCCGTTTGTCTATATTTACGGGCCGACCATTCTGACAGCCCGCTCAAAATCATATTATTGGGTTTACCCACAAATATATGAATGAAAAAGTAACATTATCTGTTCATCCCTATATTCTAAATATACAAAACCTATGGTTCTAAACTAAAATCTCTCAAAATATTAGATTCGGATTATAGTAAATCGAAACTTTTGGATACGTTTCTCGAAATGACCCCTAATATATGATATATATTTCGAGAAAATAAAAAATCAGAATTCCGTATTTGGATCTCGGATTCGGATAACCACGGACGGACACCAAAATATTATCTCGAACATCCGACCTTTAGATAGCCCAAAAAATTTAATGTGATGAATCAGACAAAGAAGCAATAAAAACCAAATTCAAAATGTTTTCGAAACCTTACCACAAAAAATGCCTTGATATGGTTCCTCGTGATCTTATATTCAGCAGTTTCGTCTTGGCAAGTTTCTAGCAAGACATCCATCATGTCCTTTTGCCCTCTGTCCGGATTCTCTTCGTGTTCCCTCAGAATCTTTTCGAACAATTCATCGTATCTACTGGAGATTTCCTTAATCTCCTTTCCAAACAGCCAGATCCCGAGTTTCCTAAGCGTTTTGTGCAGCGAACTCACCATGTAAACCTTCTTCGTCAAGGCGTATGACTTGGCAATGGAGTCTCTAACTTGCTCCGCCTCTTCCGAGCACTTCTTCCCCATTATCATCTTGCAAATGCTATCGTTCGCCAGCCTCGTCGTCTCCATTCCCAGGTCTACAGCTTCGTTCCGCCGTGCCTTTTCCCACAAGTTACAACGGAACCTCTCCATCTCTTCGGCCCGAAGGCTTCGGGATCTCTCGAGGGCTTGCCGCCCGAGCAACTCCGAGAGCATCAGCTTCCTCATGAACCTGCAGTAGCCTCCGTAAGGAGCAGCGGCCACACCGTACGAGCCGAACAACAACGAGTTTTCGACAGCTAGGGCTTCACGGGAGGAGAAGTTCAAGTCTTGTTCCCTGAAGACTTTGTAAGCGATGGATGCCGACGAGACGAGAGCTATTTCGAAGTCAAAGGTTCGGAGATAGAGGAGAGGGCCGTATTTCGAAGAGAGATTTCGGAGGCTCCTGAACCATGGAACGGATACAAGGAGGTGGAGATGGCCGATGAACGGCAAAGCTCGAGGGCTCGGCGGCAAATTACGAACGCAGTTTGGTGATTTCTTTGGATTTTTCAATGCAAAGATTGAGCGGGAGAAAAGCAACAGGAAGAAGAAGAAGAAGAAGATGAAGAAGAAGAAATGTTGGAAGTCAACGATGATTGCTGCCATTGTTGCAGAGGTCCAAAGTGGCTCTCAAGATTATTTGATGAATATATAAAATAGGTGTGAAATGCATTAAATACTGTTATTTAAATGCGACCATGTTGAAATTAATAATTCAATTACTGGCGCAAGTTGTTAATGTTACTATATGGACCCGAAGAGACAACTAATTAAACGTATGACATGGTTGGTTTATTGAACTATCCCAGGTTATTTATTTATTTGTTTAATTTTTTTTCTAAAATCGGAATCTTTTGTTTTAGTTTTTTATTCTGGTGGAGATCTAAGTATTTGTTAATTATATGTTTTTTTTATATCTTTACTAAAGTCACAATAAGAAACAAAAAATAAAATATAAATACTTGGTGGTGTGGCTTAATATTTTTGGCACTATTAATCGAATTCTCGATTATAAAAAACAGAAACAAGAAACGTGATTTCAATAGTATTTAGGTACATTAATCATCTTATATTTGTGTCACATTTTTTATTCGTTGATTTTGTTTGTTTTTTTTTTTGTCATGGAAATTGAAATATGAGATTATTAGTAATTGATATGCAATTTCGTTTTTTAAATATATGAATAAGGTGAAAAATATTGGCCTTGAATGACATTGGTTTTTATTTTGGGTTTTTGGCTTTAGTTTTTGGTTTTTGGTTTTTGGTTTTTGGCTTTTGGATTTTATAAGTTTGTAAATTCTAAAAAAATGTGGCTTTTGGTTTTTAGTTGATTTTTTCCATAAAGTAGATTTCCGGGTTTTTAGGAAAACCACCAAATTTCAAAAAACTTGATTGTCGGTTTTTTCAATTTTTAAAATCCAAAAACGGTGAAAACCACTTCCCATTCAACACCATTATGCAAAGTCGAATAAAATTCAACTGTTAAAGGTGGTAAAGTTATTTTCAATGTAAACAAGAAAAGGCGTTAAAAAATTTATTTTATAACGGAATCATGGAAAAAAATGGGTTGATTTCTAGTTGTACCTATTTGATAAATGTTTTAAATTGTACTTATTTTTTTTATGAAAATGGTTGGATCTAATTTATAGAAAATGAGATGAAAATTGACTTATTTTAAAAAAGGACCCATTTAACAATTTTTTTGCCTATTTTTTGGTTTATTTTTGTAATAAGAGTCCCAAAACATTTACGTTGCTGGGTTTTATTTCTTTGTTTTTGTTTATTGGCGGATTTTTTTTATTTGGATTTATTATTTTTAGGATTCAATAGAGGTTTATGTTGAAATAGAACTTATTGGACTTAGTTATCAAATATGCTATTAGGCTTAATTTATGATTAAGTTAAAACTCATTAGTAAGTGTTTTAAGTCCAATAGATAAATAGATTGTGTTGATATTTTAAGAAAAAATCACGTATAAAATTATAATTATCTAAATTTTTATAAAATTTTCAAATAAATACATAAACTATAACACTTCAATATAAATACCTGATGATACGATCCTGAAACTTTTAAAAAATTCTATATAAACTAGGTAATATCTCCGTACGTATCGTATGGATTAAAAATATAAATAGATTTTATAAATATAATTATTATTTGTAAAATTAAATATATTATCTATTTTGTTTTTTATTTTATAACTTTATATTGTTTAACTCATATTTTTTTAAAAAAATTCAAGATAGCACAATGTGAAAATTCTAATTATTAACCCGCACGCATCACACGGACTAAAAATATATACGAAATTATAAAAAAATTTATTACTAGTTTTAAAATTAAATATATTAGATTCTGTTTTTGAATTTATTTTTTTATTCTTAAATTAAAATGATAATGTTTTAAAATGTCAAGACAATGGGGTATTTTATTTTTTGAAGAAAGATTTTGAATAGTTTCTATATTTATAATTTTGTAAATTATAATATAGATTCATATATTAAAATGTGTAACATTGGAAGAGTATCTTTAGAAATTTTATGATTTGATAAAATATTTTCATTTTTGATAAAAAGATGAGTATTTGAAAAATGTGATTAATGATAATCTGATAAATATAGTTTGAAAAAAATAATATAAATCATGTAACCCTTTTATTTGGTCCATAGTCTAAATCATTGTTTTTTTAACAAACTAAGATTTAGTTATTTTTATATATAAATATGAGTTAGAGTCCTGTTTAGTTGGGTTTTTTCATTTTGTTATACTTGTATTTTATTAAATTTGTTTTTTATTATTTTTATCATTCCGATTTAGTTTATTTGATCCTCCATTGGTCGTCCTAATAAAACTCGATCCGATAGATATTTCGCTTGAAATATAAACTTCAAATATGTTTCGATAAGTAAAAAGTTTTCAAAACAAAAACCTAATGACGTCTAAGAGACTCTTTCGGACTTCAGAACTGATATTTCATACAAAATTCATCATAAAAAAATAATATATATTTTTATTTTTATAATTGTTTTAAATGAAATTTAGATTAATGTTTTAATGTTAACATTCGTAAAATTCAATTTTTTTTCATTCTAATTCAAATTAATGTATTTAATATAGATAGATATAACGATCATAATTTTTAGAAAATTTAATTAGGAACTTAGATGATCAAATTAAAAGTTTTGAGAAAAATCTATGATTTTGAAAAAGATTTTTATCACTAAATAAAAATCTGGAATAAAATTAAAAAATTTTAAAAAAGAGAAGATTGAACTACAATTGTTTTCAGGATTTTTTTTATTCTTTTCTTTCTTCTTTTTTCTTCTTTTTTGTTTTTGCCGTTCCTCTCTCATCTTCATCTCTCTCTCTCCCACACGTTATCTCTCTCTT